TTAATTAACGTGAGCGGAATCTGCCATCAATAGAATATTTTCTATTTAGTGTATGTACGTATAATTAATGTGTGTGTGTGTGTGTATTGCACAAGTTTATAAATCATCATGACATTAAGAATTTCATGTTGATTATAATCATTTCGATCGCGCATTTTTATAAGTAATTAGTATTTCATATATATCGGATTGGAACAAAAGTTTGTAGCCCAATAAACTTAAAATTCAGGTAGTTGTAACTTCGTTCAAATTGAACGAAATTTAAATAAAAAAACAGAATAGTTTAAAATTTCTACTTTTTAAAGATCATGACGTCTGTTTAGTTTTTATGAGTTTGATCATTTTTACTAGAAAACTAATTTTTAACGTAATTTTTAATAGAAAACTGGATAAAAATTGGATAAAATGGGATATTTTTTTTCACTTTGTAAGTCTACCACGTGTTCAAAAAAAAACTTGCAAAAATCATTGACTTTCTAACGTGAAAGCTTAAAGTTTTCCTTATAAAATCGTTTTTTACGTGAAAGCTTAAAGTTTTTCTCATAAAATCGTTCATAAGATTTTTTATTGAATTATCATTATTATGAATCAAATAAAAAAAGCATTTTGACTTTAATTGCTCATAAAATTAAAATTAAAATTAAAATTTAAAAATCGTATCGCAAGTAAAAAATAAATTTTTTAAACTAAAACTTTGCTCTATTGAACAGTATAATTGTCAAATTAAAATAGAAATTTTTTGTTAAACGTGTAGACATGATGTAGAAATGAAGTAACGCTATGAACTTTTGTTTCAACCCAATACACAATGTAATTAGATATGCTATAGCGCTGGTCATTGAGATATTAGAACATATTAAATGGCCAGTAAATTCACAAAATCCGGGCAAAATTACAAGCAATTAACTGGAAGGTCTACAAATACATAGAGAAGTAATTTGTCCATGTAGTTATGCATTTTTGCGATAATATTAAGCATTATTTGTGGCGATGCGCGATCCTAGTTATGTAAATAACAGGAAAAGAAGACGTTTTTACGAAACGACCATATAGATACAAAGGGCTGTAAAAGTGCAGAAGAAGTTCGCGCAATGTATCCGCTACGGTGTGTTCTTTTATCGTCATAAAAATGATAAAATCGAGAGAAGGAAAAAGAGCTTTGTTACTAAGGGAGGTCTATCGAAATTTTAAACGAGAATCTCTCGCTTTTCTCACCGATCATCTTCGTTTTACGAAATCATCCGTATTCGATATGCTTTGAATTTTCAAGATGCTGGTAGTACCGGGTTTGCTTAAAATGCTTACAAGCGATGTCGTTAATATGAGAAAAGCTGCAATACTGTAGTTTCTCGGTAAAGAAACAAGTTGAATTATAGAAGTTTCTCTACTCTTTTCGTTCTTCTCTAAGTTTAATTTCTACGACGTACCAGTGTTAGCACTTTATATCTTCATGCCCTATTATAGATAATCATATAAAAGCTTATGTATATTTTACGATGGTTAAATGACCTGGTTTAGCTAAAGCACTTGCGCGTAACTTTATATAGTTCTTCGAAGAACACCAGGCCTCAGGGGAATCGATATAATTTCGAACTTCATAAGAAAAAGTTCAATTATGTACAAAAGTATCGAAAATTATGAAGATAAAGCTCCCGCGGTTGAGTATGAACAATTGGAAGTAACTTATACTTACTCGTATAAATTATCTTTCAGTTTTGCGGTAAAACTTTGCGGCATAACTAAAATAACATCCGACTTGCGCGAATATGTAAATTATCATCATTGCTTTATACATATAGTGGGTGGCATATAATGTTGCTCGTGGAGTCGCGCTTTTAAACAGCCGGTTTTAATATTATGCAAGTGTTTGTTATAATTAAAGTTGGAAAAGGAACTCTGGCGAGATAAAATTTGTTGATATCGCGCTGGCAATGCGAGAGGCAAAATAGACATATGATACAAACGTGAAGAATAGCGTTATCGTATCTCTTGATTCGATTAAATCCATTCGAAATTTAAATTTATGAAAAATATAAGGTCCGTAAGCAGCTTATACCTCCTGCAACCTTTATGCGTGAAAGATAGATCAGCGGAATAAGAAAGCTCCCTCAGAGCGAACAGCAATTTCCCTATGAGAAGGATCCATCAGCGAAATCTGGCAAGGAAAATACATGATGGAGCACGACTGTATACGCGGCACGATAATATCCTGTTCAAATCTTCTTTTTATTACGTCAAACTCGTTTCGTTCTGAAATATGAAATATGTTCGACGACGCATGCACAGTGGTCATAGTAAGCTTCCTAGGAATGTTCTATACCTCTGATTTATACACTCAAACACATTTCTCATATTCTCGAATGCTTGTCATGCAGCTAAATTACGTCTAACAGAAATTGTAAAGCATGACGTAATATTCTGGAACGCAATTGCAATGAGGAAAAATAAAATATCGAATCAATTCGAAATTGGAATTTTATTGTAGAAGTGACACTTGTCGGATAACGAAGTAATCGGGCATAACTTATCAGAATTACAATTACTCTGTTAAACAATGCATAATGCGAAGAGATTAGAACATGTGCAGACTTAAACCTGAGTCAACGAAAAGCCAGCTATTTAAAACAATGAGAAAGTTCTTATCGTTAGCGTTGAGTCAAATTTTATCTGTCATTAAAGTATCCTAGTTAGCGTTGAGTAATTCGTTGATACTTGTTTTACGCATTACTTATTTATTTCTCCTGTTTCACGTATTCACTTGGCAGAATCTTATGGTACTGCATTTTATATGAGCAGCCGACTATTTCGATCATTTCGCAGAGTGCTCGAGATCATAAATTTCAGTCAGGTCAATCGCCAGTCTGCTATCTCTTGCGTACATTTACGAGCAAATTCGATTGAGAGATGAATCCCGTAGGAATCGATATGTCAGTTCAGTGAGTAGTGAGTTCGAGATCCTACTGGAATAGTAAATGGGATACGAATTTACGACGGAAACAATGTATAAGATATAAATTTCTCCTAGAAACGCCTGTTGCCTTCGTACCTTTTACAACACGCATTTTTTTTTCGTTTTATTTTTTTATACTTATTTAATGGTTCTTCATTAATTTTCTCTTATATTCTAACTCGATATTTTTTTTCTTGTAAAAAGTCTCTTCCTGTAAAGAGATTTTCTAAGATAAAGTTATACGTTACTTTCTACCAAGACGATGTTGGACGTGAATCACGAATTAAATTTAAATCCGCACACTCATCAAAAGCGTGTCCTGAAACTTATTATTAAATAATACTCCGCGCAATATATTTTATCTCTCAGCTATATGCCACCGTACTTTCCTTAGAAAGATTCGACGTCTCTCTTTTATAAATGCATTTCTTCCTTTGTCGAGCTTCACCGTCGAAATTTCATTTTACGATAGAAACTTGCTGGTGACATTTCGTGTCACACGATTTAAATCTCCCTTTTGTTTTCTCGGTCCTCATGCGCGCAGACGTTTGTCCTCCTTCCAGAAAATCGAACATTTTCCAAAGTGGAAGTTTGCTACAGTTGAAATACGCAGAACGTGCCGCAATGTAGATTTAACCCCTTAGCTGTTAAAATCGACTATTGTCACCTTCCTGTAAAACGGCCCTCCTTATCTAACCCGGCAAGAACATCTATAGTTCCGCAAATCACAGTTATAATATCGCGCTATATTACAGTAATGATTATGATATATTTGTTTGTATATTACTGTTATATTGCGCAATCTTCATTTACTTTATAATATTCATTTACAATATTCATTTACTTTCTTACATTACTTTACAAAATTATAGCGCCGTGAATATGTTAGCGTGAATATCAATTTAGCACGCTGGCGTGATAACGAGATAGCACGAACTTTTATTTATTTTTAGAAATCAAAATTTTCATTTATTTCATATGACATTATATCGTTACATCATCTCTTTTCTTTTGATATAATATTGTAACAATTAATGAATAAACAAATAAATAAGGAAAGTAAAAAGGAACTGTAAAAAATAAAATTTTAACTTTAACTTAAAGAATATTTTTGTATTAATTTTAACATTTTTGCATGTCTTAGAAAGTCCACTATACGTCTTTAAGTTAAAATTAATATTTTATTTTTTACAATGTAATAAGGAAAGTAATAAAGAAGAGAATGCTAGGAAACATAAATATGATGGATGTGCTGTAATTTAAGGTCAAAAGACACAAGGTACTTTTATAATATTTTTATATCGTTCTCTAACACCATTTTCTTTGTTTAACCTACTCGAATTTCCAGACGCAAAGTTTTTCTTTTTTCGTTTTATAACAGTGACCATACACGGATAAAAACAGTTTTATTCTTTGCAGAATACGGAATTTTTATCACTCTGTGTTCCCGCGAGAAATTTGCAAAACAGTATGTCTGTATATAATCAGTCTACGTTATTTACATGTTTGTTTTTACAATATAAATTTCCTATTGTAAAGTTTCCTGTTGCAAATGTAAATGGTACATACGGGTAGATCTTCATGCACATTCTTCTGAAACTGGGTTAAGTCTCGAATTAAATTTCTCCTTACCGCAGTAAAACCCTCTGCGTCCTTCGAGGGAAAAAAAGATCGGACAAACTTTTCGATGCAGCATTTGCCATATATTTGCGCGTTCCATTTTATTGCATTCGCGCAAAACGAGTATTGCAATACCGACGTAATTCTATTTTTATTTGTCACATATTTATATACAGAATACGGTAACAATATGAAAATCAGTTATGCATGATACAGCGGGGCTGATATAGAGGCTCACATAAAACTGACTCCCTTCGTATATTTGTTCAAAATTCAATTTCTGATTATCGATGGAAAAGAAATATATTCCGCTGTACATATTATATTAAAAGTAGAATATATCAAAATTCAATTCAATTACAATCTCATTTCAATGAATTTATAAAGGACATTTCAAAGTGTAAACGATTCTGTCTTTTATTGCACACAGATGGTGTAATCCGTGGGAGCCAATGATCAATTTGATCTGCGATCCTTGCTGAAATCAGCCGATCGATCGTCGATCATCGCAAGCGGGGCAGAAAATCAAGATGTGACGCAATGTATCTTTGACAGTTTCGCATTAAAGATCAAACGCATAGCGGTGGACTTAATAGTAAGTGCTTTGTCATTCGGAGAGATTGCATCACAAATCGTAGCCAAAAGGTAGATCTCGAGAACGACAGAGATAATTTCGTCAGTTAAGAATTAAGGCCAAGACTTCGTCCAGGAAATTCAATTATTTTAGAGTACTTTGCTGGCAACTTTCTTCTTCCGGTTTCCGACTTATTTCTACAGACCCCGACTGCATTTTGATTTTGTTCGCAATGAGTACAATTGATTTTATGGTATGGCTATCTCGTAGTGTGATTGTATGACTAAAAAATAACTAATTGTGAGACTATACTATATTAGTAAAAGTTTTTCATTTTCGCTTCACAATTCAAATTCGTCATATACACAGCTTATTGCGGTGGATATTTGTTTAACGTATCATCGTTAAAATAAACATTTTTAAAAATATTATATTGATATTATAAATATTAGTCAGGTCACATATAGGTCATATATAAACTGAAAATGAAATAACTTTTTAATTACGCAAACGATTTACAATCCGTGACCTGTTTCGATGATTAATGTCAGAACAGACTCCAAATATTCGACAAGTGCCCTTTCGCGTTCATGCCAATTGCACCTCATCGATTGCTATTGAGAGACAGAGGCATAGCATTCCTCTGTTAATACTCCGTACTCGAAACATTACGAGTTAACGTTTGATTTACTAATGAAGTGAACGACACACGCTAATACGCCGCACGTATAATTCTAATAGTATTATTCGCTTGTTATTGTCTCATATTATACTCATGAAATCAATAGTCTTTTGTCATTGCGCGAGTACGGCTACGGCGTCGTGTTCCTGATAGGAAAATATTACGAGCGTGCCGCTCGAGTGCACTCGAAATATACGAGAGAAATAATTTTTACGGGTTAATTATTATTATTTATTACGCTTACCGGAAAAAAAAACATTGAAAGAGCAGAGAGCTATTTAACATTCACGGCGCTCAAAGAAATATGTGCCTTGTTTTAAAACCTCTCCGTTTTATTAAATAAAACTTTTTTTCATATTGTACAGATTTTAATTTAAAAAATACCGGAAATGACAGATAAATATTTTTGGAAAGTAAAGAGAAAAATTTAATTCTAAATAAATTACGGATGGTGTGTGATTTAGTAATTTTTCAATAGATTATCAATAGGACAAAGAAATGATACAATATTACAACAATACACAAAATGTTATTTAACTGGGTTTTGAAATTGGAATCGATTGTACTTCCCGTTCTAATCGAAACTCAGAAACAACTATGAGTTACTGCGGTTGACGCACTTTAATTAGGATATTCTAGTTACAAAACTTAAACAAAGTGAAATTCTATGTTGAAGCTACGCTATCCAATAAATTAACCAAAATATTTCTTAACAAGTTGAACGAATGAAAAAAATATCTTTGTATTAAATATCTACATTCATCTCGATATGTACTTTACAAATTTCTGATTATTACTGGTAATGTTCAATCAGCCGCAAGTTTGAGCGAACTGAATACGTGGGGACATTTTGAATAGAATCAATAGTCTCAATTTGAATAGAATCAAATGCATTTTAAGCAGTTAGTTCGATAGGATTTCCTGTTTTTACAAAAATATATTCCAACGAAACAATGTGTGTAATCGATTAAAAAATGTAACAGGAATGTACATAATTGCTGCTCGAAAACATAAGATGCGCTGACCCTTGTATTCGTGTGCAACAACGCATAAGGATGTGGTCGGCGTCACGTAACGCTATATTGTAGTACATTGTGGCACGATAAAATAGATTTTATCGATTGCGCGAAATTTATCTCACGTGACGCGATATCGACGAAAAATATGTAGCCTTTTCAATCCACGCCTCACAGAATTTTAAGAGCGGCAATTTATGTGTGGGTTCGCTACGGTAGACGACGAGCTGCCTTTAATCCACTCTAGCATGAAAATTCCAGCATCCGGCGAGCAAAACGCGTACACGCAGACCATTGAACGTTTTAGGAAAATTTCGACGCTGGTACAATTTTTTTTAAATGACGATCCTGTATTCGGGCTTGTAATTCAGTTGAAGGTGCGAAACCCCGTTGGCGATGGAGTTGTAATCGAATTGTTTGGGACGACGCGTTCAGTCATGGACGCTGTCGGCGGTGCGAACTCTAACTTTATTTCTCTTTTTTCTTTTTTTTCTTTTTTTTTTTTTTTACGAAAACTTGTAATATGCAGTCGAGCGAATTTCACCGGTGAACTGTCACGCGCAGAATTACGTGTATATTTCTCAGCTAGAAATACTCGTGGCAAAATAATTCATATTATATATGTAAGTCTTCAAACTCTGCATTCGCCGGATATGCCTTAGGCTCGTTTTTTATTATTTGATTGTGGTTTGTTTTATCCAATGGGCTTCATCTGTGATGATGTTCATGGAATTGGGTGAAACAATAGGTTAAGCTTAATCACAAGCCAATCAGATAATGAAAAACCGAGCCTGAGTGAAACATCAGGTTAAGTTTAATCACTAATGAAAAATCGGGTCGCGTGATTAATGAATTTTTCGCAATTTTAAATATTATAAAGTTTATAATTGAGCGAGTTCAAGTCAGGCAAAGCGGCTAGGTCTGCTTGCCGAGCGATTAAACATGATTGGTTGCATCCACAGGTAAGAACCAATTGTGCTCATTCGCTCGGCAAGCATGCCTAGCCATTTTGCCGTCTTGAAGTCGCTTATATATTGTTACGCGGCGATTTCTTGGGAGCGAGCGCGTTGCATGTCGTTACGAAGAATAAAATCGTGCGTGTGCTGAATATTATGTTATTTAATAACTTCGTGCTTGAATTTAAACGATCAATCGCGTAGTACGTACATACTTCTGCGGGTAAATGGAACGCAATACAAATCGATTTAAAATCAGCCGATCATTTCCTCTTCCTGCGGCTACAACATGAGAACTTCCATCGGAATGAAGAACACGCCTTTACAGCAATCGATCAAATGGGATAAGCTTACAAAGCCGATTTCGAATGTTACGTATTATGAAAGTTCCGTGATTGCTTTAATCAAATACGGCTCGATACGCTGCTTTAGCTGCAAATAGCCGATCTGGAATATTTCCGGCTGATTCTTGAGAGCTCCGATTCGGATAATTCCGTTGATTTTCCTGACGGTTAATATCTTCTAATCGCGATGTGATTCTTTTCTTTTTTTCATCGCGCATTTTGCGGTTCGTTGATTTGTAGGGGCTGTTATTAAAAGCGTTCGTTGAGTTCCCGCTTGAAAAACACTCTCCTGTATCGTGGTACTTTCGTCCCCTTTCTGCATTAACTAAATCAATATTTACTTCGTAGACGAGCATGTGTAATAATGAAGTTTGACAGTCCCCTCGTGCTCTGGTTGGCGTACAGAAGCCGAAAGAGAGAGAAGTTAGAGAAATGAGAGAGGGGAGAGAGAGAGAGAGAGAGAGAGAGAGAGAGAGAGAGAGAGAGAGAGAGAAATATTTCGAGTACCCTCGGATGATGAAGTACCCGACGGTTTTGACACGACGAGCGGCAAACAGAACGGAGTTATACGGAGGAGTGATGTTTTCCCGGATTTCCAAGTGGTAATTACACGGAAGTAAGGGAACGTGAAAAATGTTATTCCGCGTGACCCATTTCTCTTTGCGATCGTTATCACTTCAAAGGAAAGAAAGAAGTTAGATTTAAGAAACCTACTGAACGAGGCAGGCTTCTTCAACAGCTCGATATCGAAAAGGAGTTTTTAACTTGTTGACGCACAAATTTCTATGAGAATGCGGAATCATGTCTTATCGTTTCATATGGTGTTCATTGCGTTGATCGTTTTTCTGACAGTGACGCTATATACCCGTATCGTTAAACTTTATGTTTTTTATTGGCGACGTTTCTTGTACCGAGAGCGCGACAAAGCCGGGCTGCTTGTCGAACACTCAAAGTGAGAGAAATCGTCACGAAAATGAGAGAAACATTTTCCGCGCCCTCAGATTTACCGCAGGCTCTCGTGCAGAAAATAATACCTCGTGCGTGCGGAATATATGTATGCGCCACAATCTGCGACCTAATAATTTATGACACAGAGAAAAAGCGCCGTTGGGATGCTTCACGTCGCGAATTATTAGGAACATTAACGATTTTACCTATTGTTACATTTACAAACCATTTACAGTTACACATTTGAGTTTTGTTAAATATATATGCGAATAATGATGATTACTTAATCCTGTGACCATTTATTCAGGCAGCGTATATCTATGTTGTAAAAAAAATATATGTCTAAATAAATTGAACGATAAATCTACAAGAATTATTGATCAGCAATAAAAAAAATTTAAATTCTCTGTAAATAAAAGTGTTAGCGGGTTAAAAAAATAAAATGGAAGTGAGATGGAAGTTCAGAGATAAACGTCCCTTAAACCGAATGAAAGAGAATACATCTGTGCTATTATTTTTTTAATTGTGCTGAACATTTTTTCTGGAACTCACTTTGATCTGCACGAATAATTGGCGATAAAAAAATTGCGAAACTTTCGAAACTTTTGAATTGCTTTGGCAAACATCACATGACACACACACACACACACACACACACACACACACACACACACGATACGCGTATCTCTTTAGCGGTTTGATTTCTATGTCAACTTGTAAATATATGTTACCACCGATCAAAAAGTTTGTCTAAAATAAGCGAATTGGATTGGCAAATATCAACCAATTTCCGCAACCGTGTAAAATTTCGCAAAAGAAACGTGAAGTTTGTATTAATTTTTGTTCGAAAAGACGTTCTCAAACCTTGAAATCGTATTACTTGAAATTCAAATCGTTTCGAGAAATTTAGCCGTGATTTTATTGAATGTATTCCACGTATCAAATGTTGCTTAAATATCATTTGATCTGTATAAATATATTTAGTATTCGCTAGCTGAACATTCGATTTAAACCGAAACGTTAAACTATAACTCTTTAGTATTAGAATTACGGATTCATGTTACAAATGTAGCGCTGTTATTGGATACCGTTCGACAATTAAAACAAAATAAAAAAAAAAAAAAAAAAAAAAAAAAAAGAAAGAAAGAAAGAAAGATAATACGTGAGAAGAGTTCACTTATATAATATGACGACTGCATAATGTAACCAATTTGACTTACAGAGGGTATCCTGGACGACATGAACTCGAGCGGAGAGTCCGGCGGAACGATGTCGGAAGATTATGAAGTTGGAGGCTGCAGCGTCCCGGAAGAGGAAACGGGCTCGAATCTACCAACATGGGAAGCGGTGGCAGCCACCTTGACTTTGGGCTTCCTCGTGCTGGCGACGGTGTTTGGCAACGCATTGGTGATCCTGAGCGTGTTCACGTACCGGCCACTTCGGATTGTCCAGAACTTCTTCATCGTCTCGCTGGCGGTGGCCGATCTCGCGGTGGCGATACTCGTGATGCCATTTAACGTAGCCTACCTGCTACTGGGCAAATGGATCTTCGGCATTCATCTGTGCAAACTGTGGCTGACATGTGACGTGCTCTGTTGCACCGCCAGTATCCTCAATTTATGCGCCATTGCGCTGGATCGTTATTGGGCGATCACCGATCCGATTAATTACGCCCAGAAACGCACCCTGAAACGAGTCCTCGGGACAATCGCGGGCGTGTGGATCCTCTCGGGTGCGATCAGCTCGCCGCCGTTAGCCGGTTGGAACGACTGGCCAGAGGAATTGGAACCAGGCACTCCCTGTCAGCTTACTAGACGGCAGGGTTACGTTATATACTCGTCTTTGGGCTCATTCTTTATACCGTTGCTGCTGATGAGCCTGGTTTACCTGGAGATCTTCTTGGCGACGCGTAGGAGACTGCGAGAACGGGCCCGACAGAGCAGGCTGGGTCCGGTGCAGTCCACCAGACATCGCGAGACCGACGATGCCGAGGAGTCGGTCAGCTCAGAGACGAATCACAATGAACGCTCGACGCCCCGTTTACAGGCGAAGCCATCGCTAATCGACGACGAGCCTACCGAAGTGACGATAGGTGACAACGATCGTCGTACCACTGCGTCCACCAGGCGAGGTGCCGGCGCCGGCGATGCCATCCCTGACACCTCGACCGTCTACCAGTTCATCGAGGAGCGACAGCGGATTTCGTTGTCCAAGGAAAGACGCGCGGCGAGAACCCTGGGTGTCATCATGGGTGTCTTCGTCGTCTGCTGGCTGCCGTTCTTTCTCATGTACGTCATTGTGCCGTTTTGTCCGGCCTGCTGTCCGTCTGAGAGGATGGTGTACTTTATCACGTGGCTCGGCTACGTTAACAGCGCTCTGAACCCCCTGATCTACACGATCTTCAATCTTGATTATAGAAGGGCGTTTAGGCGGCTGTTGCGAATCCGCTGAAAGCCCTTGCGGCTATCGCGTTTGGCCTTTGGGCTTTGGCAGACGAGGAGGATCCTCGTGATTTCGTTCGGTGTCTGGCCGTCCGAATCTCTCTCGCCGTTCGCGAGCCACGCGGTACCTCGAGCGGTGATCGGTTATAATAGCCTCTACGTCACGACTTCTATACTCACGGAATTTCCGTCTGCTAGCCAACAGGAGTCGTTAAGTAAGTTCTTCGTCCAGGGAAAAGCGCGTCGCTCGCCGTATCATGCCGGGTACGATACGTCGTAAATTAATGGAAATTCAGATGTCTCGCTTATCTCGATCGCTTGTTCGCGCACAGCTCGTTATGTTTCGCGGCGAAAACTTGACGCAGTCAGCACAGAGACGACGATGATGGCGACGTGTTAAACGAAACGACGAAGCGTCGCGGAGCGTGAACTCCGGAGTAAGTAAGTTATCAGTAAATTCGCAGGATTATTACCGTTTTATACCAAGTTACGAACTAACTCTACGAAACTTGATAATTTATTTTCCTTTACCACGTTTAATTAAGGTATCGATCCTATTAACCTGAATAATTATGTTTATCCGGTGAGTAGCGATGAAGAAAGCACGGCCATAATTCTTTATATCAAAGAAACGTATTACAACTATCATTTATGTCGTAAGAAGAGAGAAATATACGCAAATTTTCTCAGACAGTAAATTTTGATGTCGTAAACGTACATAACGAAAGATTAAAGATTGTTTTCGCGAAAATTATTGGAATTGGTAGAACCAATTAATCTATCGCTAATATACTTGACTCCTAAATCAAACATTCACAAAGTTTTTGAATTATTACATGACTTTCAAAGTAAATTTCTTTTTTTATGGAACGAAAAGTTGAACGCCATAAGAATCTTGAAAATTTTCTTCAACTAGTATAACGGATTGCCGTGGCTTCGAGAGAGCCCGAAGAACGATGTGCACTTACCGTCGGTACTTCCCTGAAAATTTATCAGGAATCCTAAGAAAACGTCGAGAAAATGGATGGTTTCATCCTAGAAATTTACGAAGCGCATCGCAATCAAGATTGGCAGCCGAGCCGGTGGCTAATCCGACCCTGAAGTGCTTTCAAGGGAGAAAGTTGAAGGGAAACTTTTTGCGGGAGTGATAAAGGAAATTATGCTTCCTGTGTTGGCCGGCGACCACTTTTCCCGAATATCATTATGTAAAATTTCGTCAATCCTGTATGAATTTTCTCTCTTCTATGGTTTGGATCATCTTTTCGATGATCAATCTAGCTGTGCTGCAAGATGATTAATGATCGAATTAGCTCTCGTGATCGTATAAATGAGATTTATCATTAAATCGATATAATGCTCGATATCAGAATTGTAATAGAATCGAGGTCATCGAGGAGGTCTCGCAAGAAGCTATAACCGTCGTTTCTTTCCTTCTGTGGCTTCGATGATCAATCTAGCTGTGCTGGAAAATGATTAATGATTGAATTAGCTCCCATGAGCGTATAATTGAGATTTATCATTAAATCAATAATCCTCGATACCGGATTGTAATGGAATCGGGGTCATCGGAGGAGGTCTCGCGAGAAGCCATTGTCGTTTCTTTCCTCGTCGCGCACAGAGTTTCCGTCTTCTCGACGCACGAGCGCAAATATTTCCGTAGAACGTCATCAAGTAACTGTCTGACGATTTAGCTCGTCGGCGAGACGAGAAAGAAGGAGACGTGCTTTTTCTTCTACCAACGACAACGGAGAAATAATCGTACGTGCGTTTTAGATAGATCCGGTAGACGTGCGTACGTCCACCGAACGTTAACAATTGCAACAAGTATTACGGTTGTGAATAATTAATAGTCCTAATCCATAAGCCTCAATCGCGAGGCGCGTAGCGTAAGGAAACAACGTAAGAGGCATTTGTTCGTCACCACCGAGGCGGTCGTTTATTCGGAGCGTGACGTTAACAACGCCGACCTGCACACACAATCTCTGCGGTTTCAAGACTCGCACGGTCGTGGCCGCGCCGCGCGTCATATAAAATCTCACTTTAAACCGCCTCCCAACGTATTCACGTTGACACGCGATAATATCGTCACGTAGCGCTACAAAAGTTTCCCGGAATCACCGCTATTTATTATAATGACAGCCCTATTAGTTTATTAATAGCCGATTTTTCTTCAGTACCCGGATGGCGCGCTCCAGCGTTCATTTTCAACTTTTTAACACTTTAACTTTCGCGACCCTGGATGGCTGCATCGTCGTTTACTTACATCTTCATCTTAATTCGTTGCCGAAACATATTTACAGTTACAAATAATATAATCAATAGAATGAGCGTTCGTTACTCGTTTATACAATATACATTCCTCTGAAAGTTGAAAAACTCTAACTTTTGTCATTTCACACGAAAGTATCGAACGGGAGGCTTGTATATTGGAAACTTCTGTTTCATTGAAAATTCTTCAGGCAAACATAAAATCGGAAGTGATTCGTCGAAACTTTTCATTATTAAGAGTGGTTTTGAAGAATACAACTCTTGAGTGAATATATCCGGTCTTCTGTATGTTTCTATCGTTCAATGAGGCATCGAGGTGATTACGGGATACCATGTAGATCTGCGTACATGCACACACGTACACACATACTTACACACACATCCGTATACTTTGACATATGCGAAGTACTATTTATATGACCACAATACAATTTAAAGTATCTTTAAGGGTAAAAAAAAACGAGGGAACAGACGGCGAGAAAATCGCCATCTCCTCGAGTGCCGCGCCAAACAGACAGATTGAAATGAATTCCAGGTGAGAAGGACGAAGAAAATAGATCGGACGATTAATACGACTCGGTGGTAAGCTCGTCACCAGGGCACTCTATAATAAGGTTGTGATAAGGTTGTGAGAACACGTTCGTAGCCGTGCTACGAACGACGTAAGATTTTTAATTACTAGGATAGGGAACATTTCTTTACTCGAGTTATACTCTTCGATGCTGCGTTGCCTCCTACCCAAGAGAGCGAGAGCGAGAGCGAGAGCGAGAGAGAGAGCGAGAGCGAGAGAGAGAGCGAGAGCGAGAGAGAGAGCGAGAGCGAGAGAGAGAGCGAGAGCGAGAGAGAGAGAGACAGAGAGAGAGAGAGAGAGAGAGAATCGACATTATGAGGCTCCGATCGTTTTTAAAAATCGCATTCTTTTTTTCGTCGTAATCTTCAAAATGCTGTCAGTAGGTAGTTCTAAACTTGCAAACTTGGCCGCGAGTTGACATAAATGAGATTACGTTTTCATCGAAGTTACCGCATGAATCCCATTTGCGTGAAAAATCCGTGTCTTTGTGTACGTCTAAACGCTGTCGTTTTTTATTTAAACGAAATTTCCGTTGTGACGTTTGATGTAAAATCTAGCGTGTCCCCCGAGGTAGAAATTTAATTCGATTCTTTTGCGTATATTGGAATAAAGAGAAAATTTGATTTGTAAAGCTAACTGATCGATATTTTTTCCGATGTTCTTTTTCACCCTTTTTTATTCTTTTTTTATAAAATATGAAAATTTGAACTAAAAAAAAACCCTATTTTTCTCTCCTATTTTTTTCGCGATGATATTAGGTAATAAGTGCCAAAATAACGTATTTATTACGTTTTAACTCGATAGAAAAAGATGTAAAGGTTATATTACAGCATTTTTCTCCTCTGCATTATATATGATCTTTCTTTTCATTGTTGTCTTTCTCACGTTATCTTGTTATATGAGACAGCATTGGATCCTTCGAATGCCGATATCTTGGGTAGGAATCTCAAAATGTGTAGTTTATAATATTATATTATGTATTGTATATTATATCGCGCATTATATAATGTACATACGTATCAGCAGTGCGATTCTCGCATAGGTGTTTCGCGAATCGGTACGCAGCTCATCTCAATTTTCTCCCTTAAAATTTAAGTCGAGTGATCTTTCTTTTCAAATGACAGGGTTGTTAATAATTTTTCAAGTAATATTTTGGATGCCGCGAAACGATTCACGACGTGCGAGAATTTCACGTTGTCGAGCCTGGTCGCTCGATACAAAAAATACAGTTCTAGATACGTATGATAAATAAAAAGATATATATATATATATATATATACACACACCTAGTTGATAAACTGATACTCGGTTGGTTGTGATTTACAAGTATAGCAATACAGCGATACTCGTTTCTGTACGTGGTAACATTGCCAGCGGAGCTTTCCTGTGTCCCAGTTCAGAGAGTTATTTCTCGCACAATCTTCGAACTTCTTCCATGTCTGCGAAAGGAAATAATTTCTTTTTTTTTTCAGAAAAAAATCAAGATGTAAATTCTCGTCCGATAGATAAAAACGGCGTATTGTAGCATTCCATAGTTGTCGTGTTCACAATATGATTTCTGACGATTTTATCGCATTCGTTATGAATAATTAATTTTTTTAAAAATATCATTAATAATATTTAAAAATATTTATAAAAATATCAAAATTTTTTTAGAAGAGTGGAAGATTCGAATCGTCTACATGTTGTGTTATTTTACGTTCGGAAAAATACGGGTGACGCATATGTGTATCGCAGAAAGAGAAATCGTATGTTTTATCACAGGGCGCGAGAAAAAAATGCAATACTCAGAGAGAGAGGAATAAAAGGAATATTTTTGAATTTAAATGAAAATAGAAAATAGGCTGGTTACAATAGATACAATCTAGATTGGTGCAAAAAACGAATAATGCCTAGTGTGATATAACGTTCTTGGCAAAACACGTTCTTCATCTCGATGTTAAATTTAATGAAAAATAACGTCTATTGAATTGCTATACTACTTCGATTCAAGTAGACCACTGTTATCATCGTTTTACAACTACAAAATCCAAAAAATCTCCACGTAGGAGATCTACAAAGATTTCTGAAAAAATGTTTTTACCATTTGCAATGATAAATAAAATTATTTGTACAATGAACAGTACCATAAATTATTAATTTTAATTTATAATTATAAATTAAGTAAGTCGTTAAATTAACAGCTTACGTTTCATAAAGTAGTTCTTCCTAATAAGCATATTTAATTATATCTAATAAATATTTTGTTTACGTCAGCTTGTAGGTTTTCCTCGAATTGGATGTAGCGAAAAAATTCGAAGCTTCCGTGAATCATGTTTGTATAAATCTCCCCTTTTTCATTACGGTGCTCGTTCTCTAGATTTATATGTACATTTCAAGTGTAGTCGTTGTTTCTACGAATATTTCGAGCGTGGGATGAATGTAATATTTATTTGATCTGCTTGTAATCCATCACTTGGGAAAAATAGAGAAGCTTGCGATGCAAGCGCAAAACGAACGGCGAATTTACATGGTTACAGCATTACACAACATTTGCGTTAATAAAAATTTCGAGACAAGGATTACAAGAAGAAATCTCTGGGAGGAACTCCGCTTGCATCTTTGGAATGTGCAAATTTGCAAATCGAACGAGCAATCATGTGAGCCTGCCGCTTGGATGTGTGCATGTAAAATCAATTAATAAACAAGCCGGACATACTGTCATGCGTATATGCACAGTGAGTGACCGATGTTCGAGTAATGAGTGCATCGAATCGATGGACGATTATATATCTAATTATGTACACCGCGATAAACATTGGTAGCAGGAAGACATTTATTTCAATTGATGACAGAATTTATGCTAGACACACGTGGAGCAATAAAATATCTGCGTGAATGCCGAATAATATCATTTAGAAAGGTACATACGCGACTTGTAAATTTCAGATATTATGTAACACAGTTTACGAATTTTGAAACAACTTCCGGCCATACATAGCATTGATGTGCGACCGACTCAATAATTTTTTTAAATCGTAATTCTTATTGCGCGTTCTTTAATACCGAAATATATGTTACTATTTAAATTATTATCTACGTATTAATTCTTGCATAGGTGCGTGGTGTATGGTAAAAGCTCGTCGTTAATTTTAAACTATTATGTGTGAGATGGATGTGTACGAATACCAATGAAATATTGAAATAAACAATGTTGTACGGTATTATGGATTTTACGCAATGTTCACTGTGGATTCCTTCAGAATTTTGTGCGCCTGTTGTGCGATCGAATAGAAAGAGAAAAATAAAAGAATATATATACATGTGAGTACAATCTATTTCATTATTAATTTTCATTATTAATTTGCAGGAAATATATTTTATTGTTGTTAATTTGTACACTTGTTTTATCTTTTGTCTTTGTTTTTTACGTAATGATTCATAAGCATAATAAATTATTTTGGTGAGATTCTCCTTTAAAATATGCCGTATATCGTATATAATGTACATTTGGACTAACGATTCGGTAGTGTTTGCTCTTTTTTTTTTAAAGACGGATTATACGAGAAATATTATATTTCGCGTGACGCTTTGCACGCGACGCTAAAAACGCTAGCAAAATCGTCTGCGCCATGTCTCGGGTTGCATTGTTACAAAAGCCAAGTGCTTCGTGCATTGTTCGTGTTACGTGGCAATTCCCTCTATATGATATAACCCACATACTAAAATAACAGTCCCTTCAGAGAACGTAATAGGCCCTTTTTGTAAAACACTCTGTATTTGAAAAATTTAATTTACACACATGTAAAATAAACGAAAGACTAACGGCCGCACAAAGCAAACGAGTATAAAATGGACTTAGCAAAGAGCGCTCTTTTAATATGATAAAAATAATTTTTTTTTTTTAATATTCTACACGAATTACATTAATATAATATATAACTCTATTATTTTTTTATTTGTCATACATTTAATCATGTTTTATAATTTAATTAAAATAAAACATTTTGACTAACATTTTTGATAAACAATTAGCCATGAATTCATTTAAATTTTTAAGCACGTAACACGCAACGTGATAGACATCTTGTTTTACCTTATTTAGAATTTTTTTTTTTCATTCGTTCCTACTAAATATCACCCTTATATATTATATATTATATGTGGAACGATATATCATCAATAGAGTGGAAAGAATGATTGAACAAAGGATAACAGCATTGGCTATATCATAACCATAAAAATTCCAGTAAAGTAGGAAATACTCAAATAAAGATTTATAAATATTACGATACTACATTGCGTGTACGTAAAAGCCAAATATATTATTGAACGTCTGTGAGAGTCTATGGTGAAATCCCTTTTGCATTTTTCAGGAAGAGGAAGGGATATCTTGGATTGATGAAATGAGTTCACGTGCGCTCGTATAATTTAACAATCTGGTTAATTTCATCAGGCGAGTGTGCACTCCGATATTTTCATATGCATGAATGAACAGGTCTCGAGGGTCGCTTTGCTTATCGTCGCGCTAATAATTTTCTCTGGCTGAATATCTAAAGCGCGTAGTTTTGATCGAGCATCTACTAATACACACGTAAGAATCCGCAAAGAATTTTGCAATTAAATAAGGCAGGCTTCCGCCGCGTGATAGACGATCCACGGGCACTTAAGTGAGGTATTAACGTACTCGTGAAACTCGTTCATTTCCAGGTCCCGCGGACACGCGAGCACCGCGGCATACAAATCGATGTCGAAACTCGGGCGTTTTCCATCAGCTCCAGTCGTTTCCTCGTGCAATCTCGCGCAGCGCAGTCTCCGCGACATCCGCGATATCGCGAAAAAGGGATCGCGTATCCCTACGTAAACGTCGTTCACGAGAGCAGCGTCACGAGACCGATTACGCTTGATCGTATACGTCGCTAGGCATTTCGTTGTAAGCTGCACTTCGAAAAGAAGCTCGCACGCAAATTTCATCAGAGTCGGCCACCGTTCACTGTTTCGTCACCTCCAACGATTTTATTATGGTTAAATGCGCTTTTATCGATCGGATAATTAATAAATGTTTCCTAATTTGTTATT